AAAATGGAAATAAAATAGAAATAGAAATAAAAATAGAGATAGAATCAATATTAACAGGCTTATAAAACATTTCAAACATGTGGAAGATTTCTTTCGACGAATTTTTATATCCGTATCTTGAATATATTCCGGTTTTTTGTTTTTTTCAGCTTTATCATACGTTATCATATATTTCGAAGCAACTTTATTAATAAGCATCCTTACTAACTGTGATAATATTAGAAAAAGGAATATTAGAATTCTGCAAGCAAATTTGGATATTACGTTCAAACATTTCCACTGTAATGATTTATCTTTAGACATTGATGTTGATGTAAATTTTTCAAGGAATTTCACGAATACCTCATCGTTCATAGCTTCCGCTTGATCGTCTGTTGGCTCAGATGCAGGTGAATCTGATGTATTATCGTGAATATCTGCCGTTAAATCCATAGATTCCTCTGCTTTCGTATTTATTATTTGACATTTATCTTGATTTTCTTTCGGTTTATTGTCACTGTCATTCTTCTGAGTGGATTCTTGCGATGATTGAGATTTTAGCTCAAGTGTGGATTTTGATGTACTCGGTTGTGCGATTTCAGTAGCGCTCGATTCCGTACCGGACGATTCCATTGGAGACGATTCTGTAGTAGACGGTTCCGTAGTAGACGATTCCGGTAAATTTAATGTTTTGGTTTCAGATGAATAGTTACATTCCGTAACATTTATGCCTGCATTATTGTCTGCTAATATCTGGCCTCTATTGATTTTTTTAAATGAAAAAACACTTGATTAATGTGATATCTTATCTTTCTTAGTTAATCGCAATCGTCGTCTGCTAACACCTGGTCTCCATTGTTTCTTTAAATAAAAAGACGCTTGATTAATGACATGCGATATCTTATCATTCTTAGTTAATCGCATGTTTTAGATCTCGAATCGTAACGTTATGTTAAATAAAGACAGATCAAACTTTCAATTATATATTTAAAATATTTCTAAATTTTATTTTCAATATTTACTAATATGCAATGTCATTTTAAAGTAATTCTAATTAAAGAATATAATACCTAATGTAATCTGTTCGATTTGATGAAGCCTGCTCGATGGATGTCTCTGTCGTACTGTCTGAATTGTTTTCTCGAGGGATTTGTAACTTATAATTTGTATAGAGATCTGCCTCAAATATTAATAATAATAATTCATTGTACCCGTGGCATATATCTATCTTTTTTGACATTTGTTCGCAAATACAGTTTGACGCTTTCAATTGATCCATGCAGGATAATTCTGCAGGAGATGACTCCATAGAGTATGAACCCTCATAGTTTTTCGATTTATTGTCACTTTCAATCTTCTGAATGCATTTTTGCGAAGATTGAGATTTTAACTCGAGTGCGTATTTTGGTGTTGATATCAATTCTGCAGAATTCACAGGGTCCAAATATTCCTTATTATCTGTAGTTTCCGGTTGATCGTCTGTTATAGATGTAGATGGAATATATGCAATATCGTGAATATTTGTCATTGAATCTATAGATTTTCCAACTTCCAAATTTTTCACTAAAGCGTCTGTAAATCTAAATGACGATAATTCATCGATCTTCTGACTCATCTCACGATTTTCTTTTTCCTTATTTTGATAATCTTTCGATTCTTCGCCGCTTTTGCTGCTATTGGTCGTACTATCTGAATTGCGTTTTCGAAAGTTTCGTCTACCATATATGAAATTATTGCGTATTTCTAACCATTTTTTCGCCAATTTTTGAATACGTAAAGTGTCTAATTTGCTAATATAATTTGAGATCGTGTTCATTGCCATGTCCAATGATTCCTTAGGTTCCTCGTTGTTTTTCAATTCACTATCAATCTTCTGAATACATTCTTGCAAATATTGAAGTAGTTCTAGTGCGGATTTTGATCTATTCGATCGCGCGATGTCAGTAGCGTCCAATTCTGTAGGAGATAGTTCCGTAGTAGACGATCCTGATAAGTTCATTGTTTCGGTTTTAAATAAATAGTTACATTTCGTAACATTTATGCGTGTATCATCATCTACTAACACCTGGTCTCCATTGTTTCTTTAAATAAAAAGACGCTTGATTAATGACATGCGATATCTTATCATTCTTAGTTAATCGCATGTTTTAGATCTCGAATCGTAACGTTACGTTAAATAAAGATAGCTCAAACTTTTAATTATATATTTAAAATATTTCTAAATTTTATTTTCGATAATTACAAGAAATGCAAATATTAATATTTACGTAAATAAATTTTTAGTTCTGCATTTCTATCTCAAATAATTTAATCTTGTATAAAAATTGTTTTAATTGCGAAAATATCTTTCCTTGAAATTATAATTTTTAATTATACAAGAAAATAATACGCGTATATGTACAATGTTATTTTAAATAATTCTTAATAATTTCAATAAATCAAAATTATCAAAAAATATAAAGGCAAGTAAATAAAATTTTATTTACAGATCAATATTAATTTCATTATAAGTTTTCATAATAATATTAATTTTTAATATCTTGTAATAGGCAATATTAATTTAAAGTAATTCTAATCAAAGAATATAATACCTAACGTGATCTATCCAACTTGGTGAAGCCTGCTTGACGGATGTCTCCAAAACACGCCTCGGTATAAAGCGAGACGATGATTTCTCGTCGGAGTCAGAGGAATTGTCGATATTCGGATATTCGTACTGCTTCTCCATAATATCAGATTGTAAAGGATTGCAGCGAAGAAAGAGAGAGTTTAAAATTATATCAGCACACAATCTAATCAGAATATAACTGCCACAGCATATTGATTAAAAAACACATCAAATGTCTTCAACACTATTTGTTGTTTTCTTTTTATTATTCTTTATCGTGCGAGTCTTTGTCGTGTTGACAACATATTAGATCGAATTTGCCAGCAATCCGAATTTACTCGTTACTTCTTTGCGCAGCACTGTTATATTTGATTTCGATGTTTCCAATATTTCGGGACAATCTCAACTTCTGCTCGGATATCGATCAGCGAGGATAAAAAGCTCTCAATGCGACGCGCTTTTAATGCTAAATCAATTATTTTTATTTTACGCGTAAACTTTTATTTAAAAAAACATACATTTAAAATAAATATGATTATCTTATTGTTCAAATTTTTCCATAAAATTTATTAATATATCCTTTATCTTATACATCCTTTATCTTATTATCCATTATTTCATTATTCTAATTTTTTTTTTAAATTACTAATATATATCCTTTTGCTAGAAAATTATTCGCAAATTAACATAAGTCGTTATATTTAGCTAACATGATAACACATGTATCATAATTTTTACTAAATTTATTATAAAAAATTTACAGTGTAAAAAGTATAGCATCTTGTACATCATGATGATACGTAAAATAGTGAAGAAATAATGTCACATTAAATCGTGATAATGTCATTGCGCGTCATACGTTATAATTTCGGAGTATGTTAGCTTGTTTTACGTCAGTTGGAAAGAGAAAATTACTGATTTTATCAATTTATTAAATTTATAATTAGTATATCTTGATGAATAAAATTTTTTTAAATAATATATGGGAAAATAGCAGAAATTAATAATGCAATTTACTCAACATCAACAAAATGCTTCTACAGCATTATACCACACAATTGTTTATAAAAACCTAATTTAAAAAATCTAATAAAAGCAAGTAAAAAAAATAGCAGTATTACATAACATAATGATAAAATATTAAAGAGCAGAACAGAACATAAATGTTATACATTTGCAAAAAAAAATTTTGTATTCTAAATTCAATACTTAACGGCAGTTTGGATGTAAATTAAATTTTAATAAAGAAAAAAGATAAATTTAATAAAAAACATTAAATTAAATTTTTACATAAATTCTTCATTGTTGTTCTACTCTATAATTTATTACTTGAGCGAAATCAAAGGTAGAAGCATGGGCAACTCTTTTATGTTACATTACTTCTGAAAAATGCCGTTTTTTTTATTACTACTGTATCGACGTTTTTATCGTAAAGCAATAAAATTTTATAAAACACATTCTCGTGGACAAGAAACACACTTTATTCTGCTCATATCTTTGCCGATAAAAAACAGTTTATTTCTATTTAATGCATATTTTCTATTTTACTGCGTATTTAAATATTTCGGTTTTAATATAATTTAATTTAATATAATATAATTTAATTTGCTTTGTGGATGAAAGGCTGAACGTCTGGTCTATAATAGTTCTAGATTCCGACTGGAAGGCATCACAAATATTTAAAGTCACAAACTGCTTTTCGAACAAGATTTAAAAGACAATTTACGAAAAATTATCACTTTGTTAATAACAATTCTCAAAAGTTACAATGACATGTATTTATATCTTGTTTTCTTCATTTCTGTTTTGCGAATCAGAGCATGCATTCAAGGAACTTTTAACCAAATAAATTATCTGATATTTATTTTTAGAAAATTTATCTAATATTTAGTCATTTATTTTGATTGTAAATAACTAATGTAAATATTAGCAAAAGTATTTGCTACTCGAAACATCGATAAGAGAAATAAATATGTAATCCTGCTAAGATTTAATCTTAATAATTTCTTAAATATTTATTTGTGCGACAATTATCGCGTTTTATGTTTCAAAATCATTATTAGTAAAAAATCGCTTTTGATAGTTTTGTATCAAAAGATTCAAAAGATCTATTTATTTCTACATGTTTTGTATTGTATCGTCTCTTTTTTTTTCTGAAACGTGCTTGTTTATTTTTGCCTTGCTCGATGCAAATATGTATGAAACCGTGAGAATCGACACTGCGGATATCACAAGTTCAAACCCAATCTCACCAGCGTACAATAGCACTAATAATAAATTGTAATTGTCTACGATCGTATCAAAATGAAAAATATATCGAGTATTTTTGATGAAAGAATGTTGAAACCGATGAAACAAAACTACCAAAATTTATCACGATGTTTGTTGTCTTTTTTACCTTCTGTTAACATATGATTCTATTATGTTGACAAGACATGCTCAGAATCGGATTAATTGCATTTATTCCTTTTTAGACGACACAGTTATTATTATTATTATTGCTAATTGCGATTCGGAGAAAGTAAGGAGTCTTGAGGCGTTTACGTTTTCGAATAAACGGATCAACGATTGTATTGCGTAACGAAATAATTCTATAGGAAATATGAAAGGACGCCAACAACATGTGTATCTATATTATGATTGTATAAGATCTCTCTCTCTCTCTCTCTTTCTCTTTCTCTCTCATAGAAATCAATAGATATCAAAATTGCAATGTCATCGCGTGTTACGCGCGATAATTTCAAAGCACATTACATGTAATGCTACTTTATGTTACTTATCAACTCATTATGTTTATAATTGATCGGTTAATACTGGTTAATAGACATAATTGAATAATTGCACAAAATATTTTCCGGGGTAAAAATCGTAGCTTTAAAGCTGTGACAAATCCATCTAATAATTTGCAGCAATATAATTGTATAACAAAAGAGTTAATTAAAACATTTTTTAGAGAAAAGCGAGTAATTTTAATCAAAACTGCTATAACAAATTTTTAATTACTTGTAATTTTGATAGAATATATAAAGAAATGAAATAAGAGTAAAACTAAAAGCGCGCAATGTAATACAGTTTCGTGGCATTACAAATATTATATTTTATCAGTTGTATCACATTATCAATGTAAAAAGCAAAAAACAGATATTTTCTATCATAAAAAGACGTAACGTTATGTGCGTGCACAAAAGCTAAGTAAAAAAGAAATAAGTAGAGTATAAAAAGAGGACATTTATAAAGGAAAATCGAGATTTAATAAAATCAAATCATATTTAATAATCGAATCATATTTAATAAAATCATATATGTAAATGCAGATCAATCATTTTATGCCACATTTAATATTCAAGCAATTATCATTGACTATATAATTTATCATCTAAAGTTTTTTAATTCCGTATTACTTTTAACGCTAAGTTAATTATTTTTATTTTACTCGCAAGTATTTATTTAAACATATATATTTTTTTTAATTTAAAAAAGACATAACCATCTTACTGCATAATTAACATTTTATTTCACACATACGCAATAAAAAATTTATTCATAAATATATAAAAAATACTAATACAAAGTAGCGACTACATATAATCAAATTATTGCTCATAATCGAGACATTATTACGTGTATATATAATAATTATTATTACAAATTAAAAATAAAAATATTCAGCAAAATATAATTTAAAAGAATTAAGTAATAGATTCAATGCGCTTTTTAAGATAATTCATATTTGTAGAATCAGAATGTAATAGTTATACATATATGTAGTTATTACTTATATGTAATAGTTATACATATACGTAGTTATTACTTATATATAATAGTTATACATATATCTATAAAGCATTGAAATACATACGCTCTTCTTTTATAATATATTTATGCTGAATATAATAAATTTATCGGATTTGTAGATATTTTTTGTAGTTTCAAAGTTTAACGCATTATAATTTTTCTCAATGATTACACACAATTAACATTTTAATCTACAGTACAAACTATTTATACAGTACAAAAAGACACATTTTTTATATATCAAACTAACATTGATAGTATAATTTATATAATTTTATAGCTAAGAAAAAAAAAACAATTGCGAATAAACTTTTTAATTGTATAAGAACGACTGATGTACTAGCAACGTATCGCAGCGTAAAGCCTAAGCTAATACATGAGCATTACGTGTCATTACGAGGGTATATACATACGGAATGACCGCGGTCGCTTGCTTATAAATCGTCATAAATTCAAAAATGTGATTAAGAAAATAAAACTTAGCAAAGTCCGAGATATTACGTATGTCGGGAGTCCTAATCAATGTGAGTTTGTTTAACCGTGCGTAGCAGCGCGTTGATTACGCCGGACGTACGAGTAAACAACACATCACGCATCATCTCCTACAAAAATCACCGCTCGTTTTTAGTACAATCCGAAAGTAACGCATACGAAAATTTCATCACGCGTTCACATTAACGGATCATGACTGAAAATCATATGCAAGTTGGCTTTTAATGCGAAAATAAAAATCTTGTTCTTTCCTATTAGTTATAAAAATTATCTTTTACATCGAAAGCTAGTGAGATAATAAGCTAACGGTCTAATTAAAAAATGCGAAAATGCAATTTGACATATTTATAAAATCTAAAAAATACTTTCAATTATTTGTAGTCCTATTTAAAAAATAGCATGAAAATTATTGCAATTAATTACAATCGAGAATGTGTAAAAAAATACTTATTATTTAATCGAATATTGTTATATTAGATGCAATACAATAATTTTAGTCTCGTTTCCTTGGAAATAATTATGTATGATCTTTATTGTCTAGCAATCATATTCTTTTCGGCAATCGGGAATATCTTCTATCAAATATCGTTTAATATTATTGATCTCATCTTGAGAGAATGTTTGTCTTATATTTTTCGAAATGTTTATAATATATTGGTCTAAAGCAGTATCGGTCAAAAGTTTGTAGGGAATAACTTTGACATTAACATCTGCTTTGATAAAAGTATCGTTTATTGTTTTCATAGTTTGATATATCTCTTTTCTACGCTTCAGATCGTCCTCCATTTCTTCGATTGTAAAAACAGCCAATATCGTAAACCGCCGATCGTTATATGCTTCTTGAAACGTTTCCACATAATTTATAACAGTTTTGGAATGCTCTCCTCTTAAATTCTCTATGACAATAAAATCCGGAAGCCAAGGTAAGGGATCGTTTTTATTCTTTCTGCGTAATTTTTTTCTCATAATGTCCACCGTGTATGATCTGTCGATGATTGAATCACCAACGAGAGCTACTACTTTTAAAAGAGGTGTATCTTGCTGAAGATATTTGGTCAAGGCTCGTACAGTATTATCCTGATCGAATATCATTTTCTCCAATTCGACAACAGCAGTTTTAAGAGGATCAGTGTGCTTATCACTCTGATTTACATTCAAAAGTCCAGAATAGTATAGAAAAAATAGAGATAATATTAACAAGATTATAAAACTTAATATAATAAGACAACAGTTCAGACGACATTGCGTTCCTGTTTTATTTTCGTGAGGAAATTCTTCCGGTTCGTCCGGAGCTTTATCAATTGTTTTATCTTTTGGAGAAACATATTTTACAATATCAGAGACCGTTTCCAAAGGTTGATTGATTTTATCCTGCTGTGGTCTATCCTCAATCACTGATGCAGTAGGCTCTATAGCGTCCTCATATTTCTCATCGCTCGTAGTTTCTGGTTGATTGTCTGTTGGCTCAGATGCAGGTAAATCTGATGTATTATCGAGATTTTAGCTCGAATGCGGATTTTGATGTACTCGGTTGTGCGATTTCAGTAGCACTCGATTCCGAACGTGATCTATATCTCTTTAAAATAGACATTGCCTTATCTCTGATTGAAGGTATTTCTTTTTTCTCATACTGATTGTTTATCAATATAGTGTCACTTTTACTCTTCTGAATGCATTCTTCCGAAGATGGAACTTTTAACTCGAGTTCATATTTTGATGTAGTCGATCGCTTGATTATAGTAGCAACCGAATCCGAATCGGATTCCGTAGACGGTTCCGTAAAAGACAATCTCGGTAAATTCGTTTCGACTTTAATTGGACTACGTTCCATAAGCTTCATACATTCTTCATAGTCTGCTAATATATGGCCTCTACTGTTTTTTAAAATGAAAAAACATTTTGATTGAAAACATGTGATATCTTATATTTCCTCCTTAATCGCACGTGTTAAATCTCGAATTGCCACGTTACGTCAAATAATGACAGTTCAAACTTTTAATTATAAATTAAAAATATTTCTAAATTTTATTTCCGATGTTTACAATATATGCAAATACTATTATTTATGTAAAGAAGACATATATACATATGTAAAATATAAATATATATAATATTAATTGGTAAAAGTTTGGATTAACTTACACATCACAGATCGTCTTCATTTTTACATATATTATAGAAGGTATACTCCTAAGTAATACACGCTTTGAATTTTGTAGCGCTTCCTTCTTGTATATAAATTGTTTTACCTGTAAAAATATCTTTTCTCAAAAATAATAATTTTTAATTCTATAAGAAAATAATACGCGTATAGTATAATTAATAGTATATAAGTAATATACAGTATAATTCTAAACAATTCTTAATAATTCAAATAAATTCAAATAATTAAAAAATATCAAGAAAAGTAAATAAAACTTTTTTTGTAGGATATACATATATACATATATACATATATACATATGTAAAATATAAATATATATAATATTAATTGGTAAAAGTTTGGATTAACTTACACATCACAGATCGTCTTCATTTTTACATATATTATAGAAGGTATACTCCTAAGTAATACACGCTTTGAATTTTGTAGCGCTTCTTTCTGGTTCCAGAGATATGCGATTTTGAAGTATCATAATTTTCATATTTACTTGTATCATCTTTTCGTTATATATCCTATGTTATATCCTACTTACATGATCATATTTTTTTGTTTACATTTGCTTGTTATTACGTCACTATCAATATTTCTGAATTACTGTTTAGTTTAAGAATTTCTTTTAGTTTACATATATTTGTCGATATGATTTAATAATATATAAAAAATAATATACTGCTTTCTTTTGTAATATATTTCTAATTTTACCTGAATACCTTATTTAAAAAAAAAGTATTCATTATTATATATAAAAATAACAAGAAAATCTTTAAATAAATGCGTGAGTGGCGGAGAGGCCTCTCCCCCTGCAACACAACGAGAAAAAATCTAACCTAACCCAACCCATGTCCCAGGGATGAAATATTCCTTAAAATAATAAAGATTCACTCCACGACATAAATTGAGTTACATTAGTTTTTAATGGAGTGGGGGTACAGGAAAAGGGGCGAAAACCCTCCCCGCCTACGCGTTTCCCCTATAATAAAGTTGAATTATGTCAAGGACAAAGTTAAAGTCATTAGAGCTAAATTTCATTTTCTTAAAATGTTAATTTTATCATCCTACAAAATTGCATATCTCAGGAATCAGAAGAGAGCGCTACAAAACTCAAAGCGTGTATTACTTAGGACTGTATTTTCTACAATATATATAAAAATGAAAATGATTCGTGATGAGTAAGTTAATCCGGACATTTACGTATTAATATCATTATAAATCTTAATAATAATACTAATTTAAAATATCGCATAGCAAATGATATCAGTTTGACAAAATTCTAATCGAAAAATATAATACCTGGTTTTATCTATCCGACTTGTTGAAATCTGCTCGACGGGAGTCTCCAAATCCTGACTCGGTATAGAAGAAGACAACGATTTCTTTTCGGACTCGCAAACATTCTTGATTTTCGAAGATTCGGGTTGCCTTTCCGTAATATCAGATTGTAAAGGTTTGCTGCGTAAAAAACACAAATTTGTTAATAACATAGTTACATACGTTTGTATTTTATTATGTCCATATCCATTCTGCGAATTGGAACATGTATCAGAAAGATTAAAGTTGATGAATTTTCTTGATATCTATTTAGTCTCTCTCTCTTACAAGCGAATAAGGTAATGCTTACAGAAAAATGTACAAAATGTGATTTCAGATTAAAACAAATGAATATATAATAGCGTTAAGACAAACCAGAATAAAACAATGAATGTTTATCAACTCGGACATATAAAGACATATTGTAAAAACATAGAAGTTTTAATTATATTAAACATTATATTAAATATTAGTTTGAAGTTATTACAATCGGAGAATATATTACCTAATAGATTCTTCTCGATTGGATGAATCCTGCTCGGCCGGTGTCTCCAAATCCTGACTCGGTATAGAAGAAGACAACGATTTCTTCTCGGACTCGCAAACATTCTTGATTTTCGAAGATTCGGGTTGCCTTTCCGTAATATCATATTGTAAAGGTTCGCTGCGTAAAGACACAAATTTGTTAATAACATAGTTACATACGTTTGTATTTTATTATGTCCATATCCATTCTGCGAATTGGAACATGTATCAGAAAGTTTAAAGTTGATGAATTTTCTTGATATTTATTTAGTCTCTTTCTCTCTTACAAGCAAATAAGGTAATGCTTACAGAAAAATTTGCAAAATGTGATTTCAGATTAAAACAAATGTATTTATAATAGTGTTAAAACAAACCAGAATAAAACAATGAATGTTTATCAACTCGGACATATAAAGACATATTGTAAAAACATAAAATTTTAATTATATCAAACATTATATTACACAATACTTAAACATTACTTAAACGTTATTTTCTAAGTTTTGTTATATTTTTTTGAGTGATAATCGTTGTGTTTGACATTTCAAAATTATTATTATTATTGAAAACGCTTCATCTCAAAGTATCTGCTAAACATTATTTTTATTTTTTTTTATGATCTTGAAATATATTTCTCCCAAAAATATAAATTTATCCAAAAGTGTTACGAAATCTGCTTTTTATACATTTTTAATATATTTATTATCTTTACTTTTTTCTTCTAAAATGCTTTTTTATATCCTTGTCTTGCTCCGGTTACAGATTGATATTAATTTCATTAGAAATTTTAATAATATTATTAAATTTTAATATCGCGTAAAATGCGTTATTAGTTTAAAGTTATTACAATCGGAGAATATATTACCTATTAGATTCTTCTCGATTTGATGAATCCTGCTCGACGGGTGTCTCCAAATCCTGACTCGGTATAGAAAAAGACAACGATTTCTTCTCGGACTCGCAAACATTCTTGATTTTCAAAGATTCGGGTTGCCTTTCCGTAATATCAGATTGTAAAGGTTTGCTGCGTAAAAAACACAAATTTGTTAATAACATAGTTACATACGTTTGTATTTTATTATGTCCATATCCATTCTGCGAATTGGAACATGTATCAGAAAGTTTAAAG